ATATATTATTTATATATGGTTAGGTCTGCATTGTAATAACAATAAATTTTCTTCACTAATAAAATATGAATAAATACTTTTATAATTATAATTATGAACAAATGTGAACAAATATTTTTATAATTATAATTATGAACAAATGTGAACAAATATTTTTATAATTATAATTATGAACAAATGTAAACAAATATTTTTATAATTATAATAGAGATCTACTAATATAAATATTAAATTATTTAATGAGAATACTTTTTTAATACAAAAAAGAATAATTGCTAGTGGCTGTTGCAGTCTTAAAGGCATTTAATGTAACTAATATGTGAAAATAGATTTTTTTGTTGTTAATTATACTACATTCCATATAAATAAAGGATTTGAATGCGGTAAAACAATAATAAAATAAAATAAATAAAAAATAATAAAATACATAACAAGACAGGTGAATTCAATGCAGTAAAACAATGACGCAATAATAAAATACATAACAAGACAGGTGAATTCAATACAGTAGAACAATGACGCAATATTAAAATACATAACAAGATAGGATCAGCTGTTTTGTTTAAAATTTATTCTTCATTGATCTTTTCTTAGAAATGGACTATATAGTAGTCCATATTATGTACAAGGCGTGTATTCCTAACTACAGTAAAATTTTATGTTATTATTTTAACTAATTTTTAAGCGGGCTAGCTGGTCAATTTAAATACGAAAAACTATCATTTATTATTTATATTTAAACAAATTATAATTTATTAAAACATTATTTCGATATTTCGACTACCTTCTATAGTCATCATTGGTTCCCGGAATACATTTTAATTAAATATGATTTATATAAATATAAATAATAAATTATAGTTTTTATTTTGTATTTAAATTGACCAATTAACACGTTTAAAAATTATTAAATATAATTTATTTAAAAATAAATTATTTTTTTTTAATTTTTACTCCTGCTGCAGCTAGTATTTTTATTTATGATTTGTTTAAATATAAACAATAAATCATAGTTTTTATTTTGTATTTAAATTGATCAATTAGCACGTTTAAAAATTATTATATAATATTTTTGGTCACAAAAAAAGAAAAAATAATTATTATTTTTTTTTATTTTTACTCCTGCTGCTGCTAGTATTTTTAGCATCAAACACATCAACTACTCATTATTGCCACTACGATTAAATCGTCTATTATTATTGTATTTTAATATATTAAATTATTAATAATTAATATTAATAAAAATATTAATATTAATATATTAAAATCTTGTTATAAAAATGTTCACAAAAACTGTTTGTATATAAGCATACTTTTTAAATAAATATTAACAACAGTAAAAATTACTTAAGAGAGAATTAATTAATTAAAATATATAATTTTAATTAGTTCTAAAACAATTAGTATCGGTAATAAAACTTTATTATATAGTTGATAAATGAAATGATTATATTTTATTTTTTTATCTGAGTAATCATGAAATATAAAAATAAATTAAACATTATATTTAGGTCAATAATGTATAAAATAATACTTATATATTATGTATTCAAATAATGCAGATCTGAGATCAATTATTGCTTAGTCTGATGAAGTGATAAACAATAATCCAGTCAAGGCGCAGAGAGGAGTTATGGAAAAACCTCGCAGTTAACAGAGTGTAAAACTGCTCAAGTGCACTGACTCAACTAGCCTCAACATACTAATAATAACATATAATATTAATAATATACCAATATACTTTTAACTTCAAAAACAAACAATTTATGTTTGCTAATCGATTTTATCTAAAATTTACGGAAAAATACAAATGATTGATTAAATGATTAAAATATTTCTTCTATTATTGTACAATTTTATGTGCCAAACCAACTCTGATGTCTTTTAAATCAGTAGAATTCAAAAATTAAATCCTCTTAAGATGAAAAAATCTCTATTTACCCATACAGAATAGGTGAAAATATATGAAATTTTTAGACGAAAGGGCGTTTCTTGAGGGTAACATTAAAAACATTTTTTTTATTGAAAAAAAATAGTACACTCACATATTTTGAAACTTAATAATTAGTGCTTATTTCTGTTAATCCTTACTATAGAAATCCCACATTTATTGCGAGTGTTTGTCGTTTAAAAACAGCTGATCGCATAGCCACCAACCAAAATTAATTAAAATTTGTTAAGTAAGATTTCGCTATATTGTCTCTAGAAACAGAAACTAAAGCAGAACTTATTAAGAAAGTTACTTATTTAATTTTATGTTAGATATATTGTTTTCTTTACATTATAAAATATAATGAGTATATAACTATTTACTCATTAGTAATTAGTAATAGTATATATTACTATAGACTTAATTACCACATAAAGATTATAGGTGTGGTAGAAAGTGACTCCTATCGACTCTGTCATGAGGAGAAGGAAACATCAGAACATGTTCTATGCAACTGCCCAGCGGTTGCAAGACGTAGACTCGATTACCTTAGAAGCGGGATATTAGTCCCAAGTTAAATAGGTAAAATTAAGCCCACAACAATTACAAGATTTATAAATAGTCTAAAATTGTCCTAGTTTTGCCTTTAGGCGCACAATAGATATTTTAGGTCGGGGTACTTCAATAGCCTATTACTTAAATAAATACAAAAAAAAAAATATTACTATATACTACATTATATTAGTTATACATTTTTAAGAAATTAATAACTAAATGTTATTTTTTAATATAAAAGAAGATTCAGTATATAATAAAATAATAAGTAAATAAAAAAGGATTAATTGTGTTATTCCTCAATCCTTTAAACCAGGGCTGCCCAAAACACGGCCTGCGGGCCACATGCGGCCCACGGATAATGTTTCTGCGGCCCGCAACATGATTTTAATCTGCTACAATTACGTGAATTTTCTTTTGGTATAATGACAAATATACATTATTTTATTTTTATGCTATTACAAATAAATGAAAATATATTGCTAAATTAATAAAACTAAATTTTACATTATAACTGTGTTTTATTTTTGTCTAAAACAACTATGAACGTGTGTATTTGTTTCTGCGGCCCTCCAATCTGTATAGTGATTGGTATTAGCCCGCGAACGCATCTGGCGTGGACAGCCCTGTTTTAGACAATAACACTTTCATAACAAAGAAACTTGATATAATAAACCAAATGGAGTTCATATTTTGATTTATTATTCATACTTAAATCAATCGAAAACTATTTAAACAACTTAAGTCAAAATTTTGCAGTGCCGTGTAGTTAAAATTATAATTAACCGCTTTATAATTTTAATTATCAAAACAATACGATAAATAAAGAAAATACTTTATTATTATTTTTTTTAAAGTCACTTGTGATAAATAAGTGTAATATACAAATACTAGCAAATATCTTTTAATATACTGGAAGGATAGATTTTTAGTTCGAAGGCTATTTTTTAATGATCGTTTAAACAATATCTTAGTTTTGGGCCATGAACTCTGTTCTAGGGATTTAATATTAAGTCTGTTTTAAAACATATTAGGATATTTGTGTCAATTATCTTATGGAATTGATTGTATTAATAATAATTAAATAAATCATCCTCCATATTCTTTATATACATATGTATAAGCGTTTAAATGAACCTTAAATAAGATACTTTTAAAGCCCAAAAAATGAATATTTAATTTATATGTCAACTGATGTCATAATGATAATTACTTTATTACTATTTCTCTGAGCTGAGTTTTGTATAAAATATCTTTTAAATTGTATATTGACTTTGCAGAACTTAGTATAAATTTTTAGACATTTAACTTAAGATTATTGATTATAATTTTATAATAAAATATAAGAGAGACTTTGTGTCTTGTCTAATAATTTCTGCGTTTTACAATAAATACTTTTCTCTTATTTGATAAATTAGGAAGAATTGGTTTGTTGCAAATATTTTAAAATAAGTTTCTGTAATTAATTTTATAGTTTGTAAAGTTGAATGTATACAATGAAACTACAATACTGTTTTTTATCTACTTTTATAAAATTTGTAATATATATTTGTCCTTATTATTATTATTATTCATATATATTTGTGTATAACTACTTCTTAAACTAAATATGCCTTTTGTTTTGTTTTGTTTTTTGTTTTTATAAATCTATAATTTATATAGTTGTTGAAAAAATATGTTTCATCTCTGCCTTATAAATAGATATATTGTTACATACAATTTTATTTAATTAAAATATATATATAATTTAAATCTGATTAGATTTATATGTAAATGTTAGAAAATTGTGGGCTTGTAAACATTTAATGGTTCAATCTTTTTAAGTATATATATTATGACTACATTACATATTTTACATTTTACACATTTTTAATTATATTGTAATAAGTATACATATAATGTACATAGATTAATAGGTGAGTTATGGCCAGCCTATGCTAATATTTTTAGTATTTTTTATTTAAAAATGAAATGTATATAAACATATATACTTATATATATTTATAAGATATATTTGATATAAATGAACTGATAATTATTAAGAATTATTCATAAAATATTTGAAATTATCACCAAATAAGTTTATTTCTTTTAATGTTGTTGAGATTAGTATGGCATGTACTTCATATTTTTTTGTTTTTCATTTTTCATTGATGAGTTGGTTTCAATGATATACTTTATTAAAATAGAGTAAATTTATTTATTCATTACATATTTAATGATATGATAATTACAAACTTTTTAATAGATTTGTCTACCTGCCTGTTTAATTACATAAGGAACAAATAATTACAAATGAGGAAATATTCAATAAGTTTTGTTACAAGAGTAACGTCGTTAAAAAATTATGTTATATCCAATTGCTATGTATTGTTTTACATATAATTAGTATTAAAATATTCACTTTAAAATTTATATTCACTTTACAAAAATACTATAACAAAATCAATAAAAAAAAAGTAAATAAGAATTTACTAGTTTTTAATAACTAACTACAATTTTTTTATTGGACTTAAAATAAAAATTTAATATAACTAAGGTTCTAATTAATCACTGATCAGTGTATATGAAGATTACTCTCTATCCATTTGTATAACGAAGTCTGTGATCTCGCCACCCACTCAACATTAGCCGCCACACTGCTTAAGGTCATATTTAAGATGCCCATTCCAGAACCGCGACCAAATCGATGAACTAGCGACTTAAGCTAAAATATTTTTTTAGTTATGTTTTTAATTACAAAAGTGCAAAGTGCTAGCACAAACACAAACCTCATCATAATCAAATTTAGTTGCTCCATACTGGGTTATTGCTGATATAACTTTTGCAAATCCAGTGGTACCTTGCCCTAATCTAGATTCCAACTCAAACCATTTTGCTTGCAAAAACCGACATGCCATTGCACCTCCTGTTGGCGTTCCTGCTATAGCTTGAAGAACTTGCACGACTTCTACTGTTGGTAGCATTGTTACACGTGATAGCAATCGGTTCTGTAGCCAGGCATCTTTTGTTCTACCTAGTGCTCGCAGCAATTGCATGCGTTCAACAAAACTTTCCGATGTTCTTTGTAACGTTACAAATCTTTCCCAACAGTGTTGCCAATATATATATTCGCCTGAAAGTATCGCTCCAGTGTAGACCACCTAACATGCGAAAATAATAATTAGTATTGAAAACAAGTATTTATGAATTAATATAAAATAAATTTACTTCTCTCAAATTTGGTGATATTGCAGACCCATTATAATATAAAAATTGATTTAGCATATTTTTTGATTTTGTAATACTGTCGATATCCTCCCAAAGCACAGAAGCTAAAAGAACTTCTGGTCGCATCAATCTGAAACAACAAATAAGAATTAATTAGAATTTAAATTAATATCAAAAAAGTATTTTATATTTTAAAATGTTTAATATATTGACATTCAACAAAAAAATATATTTTATATATTCAGATATTTTTCTCATAGACCCCGAACCAGTAGTCAACAATGTTTTACAGATAATTATACCATTTTATTTTAATTAAAATAAATAAGAAACATGATTATAGTTTACGAAACATAGATGTAACTCATGGTTATATAGAATATAATAATATTGATCATTGATAGCATATATAATTATACTATATTCATATACTACTTTTTATATATATTAACCACTTTTATTGATAATTTAGAAACCCTAAAGTCTCAAAAGCAAGAAAGTGGTCACTAACTTATGAAAGCATAAATGTAGATACGCTAAAATTTCTTTCTGATAACAGCCACAGCCGTAACTAAATTTTATATCGATACAAATCTAAAAACAATCCATACATATCTGATTATAACGACGGAAAATTGTGTGACTGTAAACAAATAGAGCTGCTGACTGTTAATATAAACAGTAACATGGACAAAACTGACCTAACCCTAACCTCCCTGCGGGTAGCAACAGTAGCCACTTGAGTTCATTTCCTGCATTTGCAGGAAATGTATGAAAACTGGAGCACGTCTAGCATATATATAATATAAGGCATTTGAACAAAGATCTAAACACAAAAATATTTTAAATTTTATCCTACCTTATTGCTTCGCTTCCGTCATCACCCCAGCCAATTTTTTGAATAACAGTTGATAGTTTCATCTTAATAAATTCAGACAACATCAAAAAACATTCTGAATACTTTAAGATACGCCTCCATTTTTCGAGATGTCGCATTGCTAATGCCATTGGGCCCCAGTTGGTTTCACTTGGCAAATATTGTATCATGCCCATTGTGACTTCACAAGGCAGTAAATTTGCATGGCATAAAGTAAAGGCATCCGATAGTAAACCAATACGATCCTGAAATATAGATTTTTATATGTATATATCATTTACCATATATAATTATTTATAAGTTCAAATATATTTACACACCTGACTTGTAAATTTTTCAGGATTTTTAGATAAATCTTCAACAAGCTTAGCCCAATTATCGTCATTGTATAATACACGATAATAACCACTTTGCATCGCGTTTACCTTAATCCACCTCACATTCTCAGGAACATTAAAAGTTACTACAGAATAAAACGAATAATATTACAAGAAAAAAAATATTCTTAAAATCTTCACTGTACCATCTATATTTTGCATCCAAAGTGTTTCGCTAACATTATTGAGATCAGTAATGTAAGTAACTGGGAAAATCCATTTCATATGTGTCTTTGGTTTGCCTGTTGGTGTTGTTGTTGGAGTGGCAACTGTACTTGAAATATCTGTGACTACTGTGCCTTTTTTGTAATTATTGCCGTCATAAGTTTCGTCATGTATGGCTAAAAACTCGGCTGGTTTAAAGGGCTTCTGCGAAATAGATACGCTGTTGCCGACTTTTGTAACAATAAGAAGTGGAAAACCAGGCTGATGCGTCCATAGAGTCATCATTTCCTAAGCATTGCGAATATTGATTTAAATTGAAAATAAACAATTGTTCTTAATATTACTTTTATATTTTTAGATCCGTTTGCTTTCTTGGTACATATTGTCCACAGATCGGTAGGTTCTGCAGTTTTAAAACGATTTATTTTTAAAAAAGCACCTAGGCATCCACGAAAACGGTCCTCTCCAATTGATGTGTGAAGCATAGAAAAAATAGCAGCAGTCTACAAACAAAATAAAATGTTTAAGAAATTTTTTTAAATATCTACATTTCACTTGTACTTTTTGTAAAAAAAATTCCTCATTATTGCCATCATGGTTGGTTCCATTCATTATGCTATCCCAACCCTGTATAGCATCAATGTCCAATGCTGCAGTTGCCATATCCAGTAAATAAAAATCCTTAAGTGGCAAATTAGGTTGAAGTGGCATCAATGTGTGCATTCCCAGATATTTGATGAGCCCTTCCCATAACCACACATCTTTCAGCACTTTTCTTGATGTAATACCACCAAAAAACTGTCGAACCATAGCCTCCGCAATCCGCAATGCACTATTGTGATATTGTTCAGAAGTAATTGATTCTGGTTCATTAAGAAAAGAAGTTTTAAGCGTAACTAAGCCTAAAGAGGATATAATATAACGATCCAGTGATGGTAGAGCCACAAAATCGACTTTGGTTAATGGATAACTAATATCTAACCAAGTCTGAAGGTATTCTAATACATCTCGTGATGTATTCAATATAAATGAACATCGAGTGAGAAGTTCTAAGGGAGCATAAAACGTGTAAGATGGTGCACGCTTTATTAGCGAACCCGCACTTTGACTCATTGACGTTAAATTTTTAGAGTTGGGGTTCTCAGTTGGTATAATAGCTGTGGTAGTAACATTTTTAATTAACATATTCATATTTAACGAATGCGTTAATGCAGTTATATTGCGAACAGGTGGTTTCTTTTCCCTTTGTTGAGTATAATTATTTAATTTACCCGATTTTGCAGTATTTACAGGTGGAGCAGGTGTTGTTGGTAGATACGCTTGAGATGGCTGAAGTGATTTTCGCTGAAAATCGCTAACTACCCAAGCTACTGCATCGGCTGGTAATGGCGGAGTCTCAATAAAATCATCACGAAGCTATTAAATAAAAATAAATTATGTTAATATTAATTTATGGCAGAATAATAAGATATAGATTATTGTTAACCTACCAAGCCTGTACCCATATAAAAACCAACATCTTCAGTTGTATGAACAATTGAATTGGAAAGACCAATATGGAAGCGATCTCGAAATACTGAGATACGAAAAGGTGCTCTTATATGTGGTTCATCAAAACATGGAAACGCTTTTCGAGCGCCATTTGAACGAAAAACAGTGGCAGCAAGTAATCTATTTATAATAAGTTACAAGGAATATTTAATTTATGTTTTTTTTTGTTTGTTGAAGGATTATTACCTCTCTAAACCATTTTGGTTTTCGTACTGATCAACATAGAATCCATCTGGCTCTGGATTTAATTTAGAATACCAACGAAGATTTAAAGTGTAATTCGATTTTTTCTTCAATTTTTCCTTGACCTCAATATATAGTTGCTGTCTTGGAGGATATTCAAGCACTTTTATTATTTTTATGGCATATCCTTTATTACCACTTGTGACTATAGCCTACAAATGATATAAATAATATAAACATTTAGTGCCAATATTTATATCTCACCTTTTCCGTGACATTTAGATCTTGTATATGTAGAACTATAAAACTTGTTTCCTTCTCGATAAAAAGTTCAATTGTTACTTGACCTACAGAATGGATGCACATATATATGTTTTATGTTTGATTTCATATAAAAATTTAGCGCTTACCTTTTACGTCCAATGTTGTTAAATTTGGATGTATCGTTACCATGTAACGCATGGGCCGTGCATATGTTGGCAGTGACATTTCCAGCCATGGAAAAGGCTCTCCGTTCGTTGCAATGGGATTGAATGGTAGAGTGACATTTTCTTCATCCAATACAAAACCCGGTGGCATTTTACCCGCACATGAACAATCTAAAATAATAAATAAGAACAGATGATATTAAACTGCGCAATTGAAATATTTTTAATATATATGTTTATCACAAGAAGAAAAAAGGGAGTTTCAATCTATTTCATTAAAACACCAAATATCAATGAAATAAGGACATTTATAAACTAAATGAATGATTTGTAAGTACATAAAGAATTACCTAAGAACAAATATAAATATAAGTAACTAAATCTTATATCAATACAAATGTACAATTCAATGATTTAAGTGAAAAAAATTTTGAACATAAAAGACAGTTTGTTTCTAAAAAACGGTAGTAAAGAATATAGTTAGTGTTGGCTGACAGTTTATAACATATAATGAGGACACATAAATTCAAAGGGTTTAACTTCCAAACTGATAGAATCACGGTGATGATTTTTTAATTTAAGTTTAAATGGCAAAAGAAAATACAATCATACGAGTAGATACAAATAATATTCAAGAAACTATTCTAGTAGTTGAATAAATAGTAAAAATGAATTATAATTAATTAAATCTAATCATTTCTGAATTTAAGCATTTCTTTAGACTATTTCAGGAAATCTGACTTTAATTTCATTATAAAGTAGTACAAAGAAAATACCTTATTTATTACTAATATATCTAACCTGTACTCTCTGTATGGTTAGTTCTTTGCATTAGATCGTAGATCATGGAGACAAATATATCAATTTCCTTCAAATACATCAATCTTCGATATTTTTCTTCGGTGTGCCTAGAATTTACTGGAAGTATGAATTCCCATACTTCACTGCCAAATATTTCTCTATAGTAACTAAACACAGAATGTCAACACTTCCAACTAAGAATAAATGACAGAATATTGAACTTTTGAAAAGTTTTGTGGTTTTTGTAGAAATAAATTTGTAATACGAACAATCAGAAGAAAAACCAAACCTTTTATCTAGAACTGCAAACCATATTCCAGTATTATTTTTAGAATCATTGATCAATGAGCGTTGAGTATGCACCATTTTGAAAGAAATGAAGATCAGTAAAAGGTAAGTATGAAAGGAAAAATTTCAAGAAAAATTGCCTGTTTCTTCTAGAAGACCACAGAAACTTACTGTGATAAACATTATTAATCAAACTTTATACTATAAATAGGTGTTACAGTTAATAAACTTTAAATTAAATTTTAAATTATTTTGAGTCTTAAGTGAAACCAATATCTTTTCGTATTTAAAGGTCGTATTTTAGTCAAATCATTTCAAGACTTCTTTACTAAAAAGATTAATCTATAAACAAAAAGAATTGAATATTCTCAAAAGTGTACAAGATATATAATATTATGTTGAAGCTGTGTTTAGCTAGTGCACTTAAGTACTTATACTCTTTTTTAACTCGAGGTTTCTTCAAAAACTTGACTAGATTATTGTTTATCACTTCATCAGGCTAAGCAATAATTGACCTTAGATCTGCATACCTACCCGAGGAGCCTGTAACCATTCTGAGATTTGATAACGCAAATAATTTTAAGGCTCTATCCTTTATGTATTTTTGATATAATATATAACATATAACTACATAAGAAATAGATGAATAGTCAGCCCTTTCTGTTATATGAAGTATTTATTTACCACAAAATACCAAGAAAACTGAGATATCATTTACAAATGCAATTCACATGGCGAAGTTGTTATTTGGCCACTGATAAAACTCTCATCTCTAGTACCTCAACAGACTTTGTCGTAGATGTTTACTACAACGAAGAATACAGTTATTATATTTAAATTACATATTGCACATCACATCTATATACTTGACTATAAATTGACTACTTTTTCAAAAATAAAGCAGAGTAGCAAGAAGATCCACCTTACTCGAGAGACGAGGAGAAGTCAAATTTTTAAATTTAAAAATGAATCAATTTTTTAGAATGGAATGATTGTAAAGAAATTTTAATACTACATACTAAGTAGTAATTAGACATATGTATATTTTTAATTTGTTAAACATTTTTTATTAGAAAACATGCAGAGAAATGAATGTTTTGGATTTCGAACAGAACTTTGGTGTTCTTTATATTACAATATAGTCGAATATATGCACATGGTGCTAATAGTCATATATGTATGAAATATTGAATTTATTTCTAATTTGTGCTCTATAACATAATACTCGCAACAGACTACTGACTGCCATTAGCTTTAATTAAAACTAATAAAATAATTGATAAATAATTGATTATAATAAAAAAAGAATTAAATAGGAAATTTAGAAGGTTTTAACAATATTTACAATATAACGAAATAATTTAGATGATGAACAATGATAATTATTTATATATACATGAACATGTAAGCGGAAAGAAATAAAATTAACATAGAAATATATAAATACATTTTTTTCCACACACATTTCTATATTTTTGGATAATGAAAAGAATATAAGAACTAATATTAAATTGATAGCAACATGCCGCCATTATAAAATATTTTGTAAAATTGTTACACTTTTGTATAATATTTTTACTCACATTTTCACGAATCATACAAGCATAAGAGAAATTGTATTTGTAATAAATATAAAAACAAATAGAAATAAAATATTAAATTGAAACAAATAAATATTTTAGTTAAATATTTTTTATCATATGCAGAATTAACAGTGAATAATGCAATATACTTGATGTGTAATTGTAAGAATTCATATGAATTGATGTCCATTAATTTCAAAAACAGCACAATAATTTGTATTAATATTTGAATTATAATATTATCGTATTATCGTCGAATCGAAATTTGTATATCACAGAAATGATAGCCCAAAGTTCAAAGCGTCTTTCTCTTTCTTTTTGATTGTAATGTGGAAGACATAGGTACACAGAGAGTAACATATGGTAAAATGGGATCGCCAATGCAAAATAACCTAATTTCTTACATTAATGAAAGATAACATCCATGATTATATGAATAATAGAAAAAAATAGTCAGAAATTAATCTGAAAGTTAGGGATTACACTTGTAAAATGATCAAATATATCGGTAATTAATCCTGTAGAAAGCACATTAATTTTATACTGACTTTCAGTGGTCAAATCGGAATAAACAAAGATTAATAATAATTGCATTGCAATATATCCTAACAACATTTATGTACAAATTTTAAAACTGACCAGAAACAACAAATACAATAAACTTGTAATAAATAAAACTTTATAATATGTATGATATCTTCACCTGATCCTGTCAAGGATAATAAACTGAAAACCAAAGCCAAAGGAGATGCTTCTTTAATTCAAAAATAAAGATTTTTGACAACTAAATAACCTAGAAACCGCAATAATGATAAAACAATTGAATGAGTCAATTGTGATTGAAAAAAAGACTGATTGAATATCAGTCTTGTGGTAGGTTTACTCACAGGTCACTGCATTTTAGTTAACAATACTAAAAGATTGAATCTCCCGTTCAATCATACCTGCCGCGGTTGTGGGGAGGACGATGAAAGTGCCTCCCATCTGCTTTGTTTCAGTCCGGCACATACGCGGCGCCGCCTTAACACTTTTGAGTATCTTACAAGCTCTCCCCTACAAGCATTATTAGCTTTGCCACAGATTCAAAGTGGTTCTAAACATCCGAGTTTTTCTATATTTGGCAGCACAATGGGTGATCCCTTGGGATTGCCGGTGTAATCTATCTATATCAGGCGAGTGATGTGTGACATTTGGTGTAAACCAATTCAACCAAGTCTAACCAACGATTTCAAATTTTATAAACAATAAAGAATCAGAAATAAAAACAATTGCCTCATAATTTGTTTTTGTACACTCAATGTTTCGGAATATATATAATAGCTCAACATGTTAATGCTAATCTGTCACTATCACGAATATAACAAGAAGTTTTTTATTTTGTTTAATGTTTTAACAAACTGCAATCACTGAAGAACCTGGCTAATAACTATCTGGGTAAGAACCTGGGTATAAAATAATCTAATTCATTTTAGTTTAATACAAAATAACCATAAAAGCAATATATACACTACTTATATTTATCAACAATAAACTACACACAAGAATTAATTAAAAAATCCTAAAGACTTAATTAAACAATTGCCCAAAGCCATTATTGTGATTTTTGATTTCATTAGAAAAAACCTTGGCTTATTTAAATAAATTAGCGGTAAATAAAATCACTTGTGTACAAAAGCTTTTTATGAATGCATCAAGGATGCATTTCCTTCTAAAACATTTCAAATTAATGCACATTTTTAATTTTATATAGAATAATTAATTTTGCCTTTGACAAACGCTCCTGTAACTATGCGAAGGAACAAAGCGGCTCAATGTGTAGCCCTGAAATTAATTAAATCATTTCCATTATATGTAGCATATGCACTATTTACATAACATGCAACGGTAATGGAGTAAGGAAACCAGATACTAATTGAATTGTGGTTTGAAGTGTAGTCCAATTAATTCCACAAAGCTCCACAAATCAAATATTGCATTTGTGATTCATATGATAGCCTTTCCCTTCATTTGAAAAATGCAAGTATCATAAGCTTTTTGTGATTAGGGATGTTACGTGTATTCAAGGTACATTATTTGATATCAAAATAAATAAGAAAAATGAAAATTAATAGCGAGACATCACAATAGTTAAAACTCAGTGATTATGTGATATGAAGTAACTTACAGATGAGCTCAAATCTTCTTATATTATATGGTGAATTCTTCTTCCGACTAAAAATAGGAGTATATAACTTTTGAACTATAAAGCTCTTGCAGTTATTTTAAATTTTAAATAATTAATGCTCAACAATATGAAATATTCAAAAAAATTGTTACATATTACAGGATGTTAATAAAATTATTATCTATTACAGGATGTTATTATTATTATCAGACGAAGTAACAATCTACCTAAAATTTATTATTTTGAATTGAAAATTTTGTACAAAAAATACTCATTGGAACCCTTACCACTTTCATGAGAATTGTATGCGATCTACCTTGCATCGTGGAGGAATTAATTAAATTAGAACGGTCCGAGTCTAATAAAACCCAATTGAATGCTATAAGGTTTAAAACGGAATTAGTGGATTATTTTGTTAAAGGATACAAAGACCGGATATGATTCAGATTTTCGATAGTTTTCGTTTTTTTAGTCCTCTTATCAAAAGTCAATATAAAACAACGTTAGTGAAATAGTTCAGAAACTTACAAGTGCTATTAAAATTTTATTTTGTTGGGAAGAGTCAGATAAATATAAAGATTTAAAAAGCACATATACATATATCTATAGCTCACTTTGTACTTTCCATTGAATAATAATATATTTTTGATATGCAACTATGTCTTAATAGTTGATAAAAATCCTTTTTTAATATAATAAAACTCAGATTTTTTAAATAACAGAAATACTTATGATTTTATTATTAGCTTAACTAACCATTTTAAGTTCACTTATATTATTTAAAATAAAATCAAAAACAAGATTTGGTAAAAACAACAAAAGACAAACGAACTTACCTAAGTTGTAGCATTTGTACACCAAAGGAAGTGATTATAAATAGTCGTTGGACTTGGAGCAAATGACTCACTATATAAATGTATTTCTATAAGTTTTATTTACAAATATATATATATGTGTGTAAATTTAGTTCCCTGGACTATAAAGTAAAACCATCTAGCTGACGCTGGGTTATGATAGCAAATTCAGTTTAAGACTTATTAAAATCGAAACAATGGTAATAACTACGCTCTGATAAAAGGTGTTTTCTTAAATTATTTGTGCCGTATATGATTTATATTAAAATTTATTTATTTATCACGTCGAAATATTTAAACAAATAGCTATAAATATTTTAAACTCATCAATTCAGCAGTTAATGCACCTTTGAGTACCTATCAAGACTATTCGACAGTCTATTTCGAGTGACTACATAGACTACATACATCACAGAAGAATTATATTTTTAATTAAATTGTAACGAAACGATTTACATAAATTGTTCATCTCCCTGTATATGAACACTTTAACCACTAATTTTATCAAATTTTTTATCAAGAAATACCTATGCTAGTGTAAAATATATCGCTTTTATGAACGAAATGTCACTCAGCTGTGTCCGAGGTTGTTTTTTAATATAGTTTAAATAATTGTTTTTTTTCGAACATAATATATTATATTCTTTTTCTATTATATTATAGTTTTCATTATTTTCTATATAGATTATTTTATTCTTTTTTTTATCTTCTGTAAGACAACATACTATAAATTAAGCACCACTTTGGATGACAACACTCGAATTCTGTCAAATATATACTTCACTTTAATAAAAAACAGGTTTAACATATTCAAATAGTCTTATTTGTATATCACAAAATGAGTAATCCATTAATATTGGGAATTATATTTTATTTAATAAATTAGATGAGTTTAATATTTCTATTTTAAGTCCTACAATTACTGACGTTTCATTTATTTTGTTTATTTGATATCTATATATATGTTGAGCCTTCTCCCAGTTAGTGCATCTGGGCACTTTTACTCTTTGATAGCTGGGTGGTTTCTGCAGAATCTCACCCATCTCACTGACTAATTTGTATATTCTTCATAAGCTTCGTGATTATTCAATGACTGATCTAAGATTTGCGTACCGCCCCGTGCGGTTAGTGATTACTCTGAGATTAGATAGTACTAAGTAGTGCAGCGTATTTTTTGATCGGATCTATTTTAAGGTCTCTTAGCATGTCATTCATGCGGATGTACCATGGCATTTTGAAGACCGTTACGTTGTGAAAGTAATAAACACAAATACTTTTTACAGCTAACTGTACAGTTTGTATTAGTTTACAAAAATTGTATACAATTAACTAATTTCTAGCTTTGGCAACCCTCATTGTGTTTATCAGTTAATCGGTTTTAAAGAAGTTTGGTTAAATAAGCCAACAGTGTTGTTGTTTTATATGTCATTTCTAAAATAAGCGATTCTCTTACTGCAAACTGCTTACAAAAGATTACGCTTTGTCTCAAATGCCGGCAACAAAAATTAAATTTCGATAAAACCTCTTCTTTGTTAGGTACCTTGTGGTCTTTGTAACCCCCTATCAAAAATATTTTGAAATGTTTTTATATTTGAACGGGGGGAATAATTCTTGGTATCATATGACTTTTTTATAATTTATTTGTTATTAAATTGCATTTACTTTGAATTTACATTAAAAGTGTTTTTATTTTTTTTTAATTTATTCATTATTGTAAATTAAAAGTATATACATATAAAAAATTTGTAGTCAAACACAGCTTAAATCATTCCAAATATAGAGTTTTTATGAATTAAAAACCATTATTGCATTGTAAACATATAAACTAAATAAGATATGTGTGTAAGTATATATCCTGTTCATATTTTTTTAAATACCATTCATTACTAGAAAAAATTTGAAATGTAAGCGAACGTTTACATATTTACACATACCATTCTGGGGTCCAGCATAAGCAATTATAAGCGCTGTTAACAAAAGAGAGCCAAGCACTACTCCGGCAACAATTAATGCCCGTTTTTGAGAGCACACTGCAACTCCAGTACGTGTCTGACGACCACCACTTGATTCAGCACCTGAAATTATAGGTGGTTGTTATATTTTCTAATACCAATTAGTATATGATAAAGATGTGTTAACATATAAAATAGTACGTTATTTACAGATATAAACATTTTTACTACGCTATTTATAATATATTTTCATGGCATTTTCAATGCGCTATTTTTTGTAATACCTGACAAAAAAGCGCAATCATCTAAATCTGGGTCATGTGACATTTCGATACGTTCACGCCGCCAAACTTTTGAACCTCTCTGACCACCGCCAACGACCGAAATCTTAACGGGGCCACAATCTCTTTGTTTTCCTGCCAATACGTTTTTTTTTTCAATAGTTACAAACGACTGAAGATATTAATAGTCGTAATAATCACTAAATTTTTTAATTGTTTCACTATAAACTATGTTTTCACAGTTTTTTGCAGTTCTAAATATTTTTTATTTTAAATATTTTATTATTTATTGGTATTGTATTATAAACTGTTACAAATTTGCAAAAGTCATGTTAAATGTAATATTTTATTTTAATTATTATAAAAAACGTTTACACTGTTTACTTTTAATAGTAAGAATTATATAGGAAATACTGGTCAAATAAATTATATAAAAAGAAACACATTTTGCAGTCTTTGAATACATATCAAGAAACTACCTCTGGATAAAAGTAATCCTTACATTTTTTAATTAAATATTAAGGAAAAAATTATTTAAATATGAATATAATATAATATATATGTTTTTTATTTATTTATTTTTTTTTTTTTTGCATTTTTAATACTGTTAGCTAGCACCTTCTATCAGCTGATTCGGACTTTTCTTTATTTCAAAATATACACTTTTAGCAAAGAATCTATAGTACAAAGAAGTGCCACGCTCATACAAACGAAATACCCACTTTATTTTGCTGGTGGATTTATAATAAATCCACCCAACCTCATGCAACAATGTTCGATCGAGTCACAACTGGTATGATGTTCAGTTCAAACTCATTGCAACCCACAATTGTTTTTATATGCCTGTTTCTTTTGCCTTTCTTGTTTTTATTTGTCTATTTAATTCATATACATGGATTGGTAACGAAGTGAATGGTAAAGAAATCCCTCAAATAATTTTTCGATATACTTTGTTGCTTTATCCATTGAGTAAGAATATTATAGAGTCACAATGACTCAATTTTTAAATTTTCAGCAACAGGCACGGGAGGGCGGAGTGAAGATTTTACTTCTTTCTGCGCTGCTGCTAGATCGGCTGCGCTTGTGCTTGTTCTTTCTAAAAATTTTACTATAAATGAATGAAGGACAAAAATGAAAACAAAATACAGATTTGCTTGTTTACGAAGGCAGGCAGTACAAGAAAAGAGTCAAATTAGTTTTTGGTGTAATTATTTGTTTTTGCAATTAATGCTTGGCACCAGCAAGCAGCACGTAAAAATTGTATGCATTTAATATCACTTCATAATGCAAATAAGACAATCATCCTTACTTGTTTGGAAGTTTACTGACCTACATATATATATGTATGAGTATAAATGTATATTTATAAACATATGTACTTTTATTTGGAAGAATATGAATATTTTTTGATCTTATTTTAGGAACATTTGAAGCAAATGCAACCAATTTCAATTTTTTGTTTTAATCAGGTATAATAACAGTTATATGAATGTTATATTAGTATTAACTAAAATAAGATAATTGTATGTAATTGACCGTGTGTGAGTTCGAGTAATTGAAAGTAAATTGAGGAAAATAGTAAATTATGTCCGTATGGCAGCGAATGTTGGTATTTACCAGAATTTCGAGTAGGGTAAATTAGGTAAATTAGGTATTACCATTGGTAACTTTTTATAAGATGTATAATAAAAAAATAAATAAATTTGAAAACTTTTAACATAAGTGCAGTGCAAAAAAACCCTAGGAAATTTCAGTTCACTTAACCATAATTTACCGAGTTGGTTTATTGGGGCCCGCAGACTTCATCGAATTGAATTGCTGCACTTTATTCTGCTTAAATTACTTCGTAAGCAATTCCTTTGAATGGTAGAGAAAGTGAAATCGACTAAGGCATAAATTGTTATATGATCTTATATTAAAAATTTGCCCTAATACAGGCTTAATAACATTTATTTATAATTTATTTATTACCATAACTACTTACTTTATTTATTTATTTTGTTCAAAATACATAGTTTAAGTGAATTAATTTTAAGAAAGTATTAATAAACATGTGTTAATAAATATGTATAAAAACGTAAATATTAATATTCATTACGTAGAAACTTTTGCTATTTTTTATGGTTATTCACGGGATATTGATCAATTTATAATTTTTGGTGTTAATATACATTAATATTTTTAACAAAGCAATTTATACATATAAACAATAAAAAATAATGTATCATATATATATCTAATAACGGCAAGAACTAACAAATGTGTTCTCTTATTGGTGGTGGTATTCCTCTATTCCTGAGCGTTGTTTGTTGTCGTTTTGTCATTGGGCCTTGTTGTGGTAGGATTTCAGGCAGGTTTAGGAATATTTTCGGAAAATACCTTTTATGTCGGTTGTTTTCTTTCTTATTTTTTACCATTCTATTTTCCAATTATTTATGTGTGATAATATATTTTTTTATCATTTATATGCAAAAAATCTTTTTGTCGATAATATTAATGTATGTATATTAATATAAAAAACTAAAGTTCTTCAAATTCTTGAGGACGAAATAGAGAAATAGAGAACAAATAATAAAAAAAAATTTTGAAACAGTAAAAAAAATCTCTTTTCTATATTATTTTTCTTGAACAAAATTTCTTCGTTAACATGGACTAGGCCTCCTGGGGACACCATGTAAAAAAAACGCGCGATGCATTATACCTCAAATGTGGTCTGGAAATTAGTACGCAACTAGTAACATGAAAATTGTCACTTCTATTTAATTAACGATAACCTTTCATGTATGTCGATCTAGTAACTATAAATGATTATGCAGTTATTTAAATAAATCTCCATTTCTCGGCAATTATTCGCTTGCAAAAGCTAATAGTCGATACACTTGTACCCCTTATATTGATGTTCCGTTTATACTTATTCAGTATCTGTGAAGCGCATATATTTGCGAAATAGCGTTAATTATTTAAACTGCCATGTAAACTGAAGGTTTAATTTTAGATTGTTTTATTCATCTTAAATTGATTTCTATATAATTTTATTGTAATACATTTGGTAAAGCTAAAGCTTACTATTTTTAAAAAATATTTTACCAATTATTGATAAATATTTTATATACATATGTATTCTTATGATTTACATATGATATACATATGTATTCTTGCTAAGATTTAATATGTATAAATATTATGTAAATGCGATAATTAATTACGAAAAAAATTATAATTCTTTCTTCAAATGCCATCATAATGAAAAATTGTTTCAATGCTGCAAATAAAATTTTGATATCTTTTGCCCCCGAAATTACATACAAAAATATCAATGTCCATATGTTCATATTTAAACACAAAGCAAGTAGGCATGAATGAATATAAAATAGCGAATAATTCTTTTTACTACTTACATTATAATTCAAGGAAGCAATAACAACACCTCAAAGAGCAAAAGGAGAAAAAAACACAAAAAAGAAATATAAAAATTTCTTGAACCTATAAAGCAGAGAATATTGCAAAATCTTCTTTGGTATGAAGCAAAAACGACTGAAGCGACGTCGGCAGAGATTTGAGTGATTTAGGTACCCATTAATAGATACCTAGAACAAAAATTAATTTCTATGGCATTGTGACTCTATAATATTTTTACTCAATGCTTTATCTTATTGTACTGGAAAGGCCCATATCATAGGAGTAAAGAGTAATAGAATTTATTATTTTTTTTATTGCAACAAATGATGCACTACAAAAACCATTATGTATGTACAAATGTGATATTGGAGACATTAAGTCTGCAGTATATTAATATGTATGTTTTTATTGCACATTTGTGCATATATTTTACCTCAAAAGGAACTACTTCTTAATAGTTTGAATTTTTGGTGACTTTTTGTAATTATTTTAAAAAATATTTGCAAGATTCATATAAAAGTGTTTGAAAAGTATTATAAAAAAAATAAAAATATTAGAAATGTAAGAAAAATTATGATGAAAAAATGTGTAGAAGTCACTAAAACCACTAATAATGTCTCCTGATTTGAGGAAACGCATGAATGCTATTTACACCGGATTGAAATGTTAAAATTGGTGTTTACGATATTGCTTCGGAAATATTGCGCATGGACAATATTTAAGAATAAAGCTTCATAGAATTGAAGAAATCAGATGTGAGACATAAATAAATTTGTAATGTATTTTAACACTACAATTCATACCAATAGTAATTTTGTTTTTGTTTTATACTATTAAATTCAAAAATTTATCATATGTACACAATTTTGACTTCGTCACTGAAATGCTGTTTGATCACTTGAACATTTTACAGCGAACAAACATACAAACATGCATATAATGTAATACAGAGGGTTGCATGTATGATTGAATACGTATGCAGTCAGGTTTTTGTCAGCCTTACTCGACTCACATATAGGTTTGAACTGAACATCATACCAGTTGTGACTCGATCGAACATTGTTGCATGAGGTTGGGTGGATTTATTATAAATCCACCAGCAAAATAAAGTGGGTATTTCGTTTGTATGAGCGTGGCACTTCTTTGTACTATAGATTCTTTGCTTTTAGCTTAACGATATAAGTTAGGCCATACTTCGTAATTAATTTGAATTTAATTTAATAGAGCAATTTATACACAGTGTGATATTTTTTCTCCAATGAATTAATTAAGTTGTCAATGAAATCGAGACTTTTTCTTTTACATTGCCATACACGTATATATTTTTAAATATATCTACTGGTATTCTTAGTTGATATTAAATCATCTTATTAAGACTATTTACTTGCACAGCTTTTTATAAGTGAGTAATTCGATACCATTTTCCTAAGCACCATAATTTGAACGAAGTTTTGAAGTACGCTATATCTAGATATAACTTGCTTTTAAAGATATCGTGATCAAGAAAATCGTAATCCAACTTAATGAATGATTTTAAGCATTTAATGCTATTCTTGACGTTTTTTAATCATTTTATAATAGAGTTTAGCATCTGCTGTTTTGGCGTACAATTTTACAAAACTCTAAGTTGTTTAAAATAATCATACAAGTATTCGCTATCTACTCGAATCACCCTCGTTTCCTTGCCAAAAAAAAAACTTATTCTCTTGTATTGCCAAAATAGTTAAAAAAAAGCTTTGAAGTAT